ATGAAATATAAATAATGTCAAAAAATTAAAGTTTTTGCAAGTTTCACTAAACATATTCTTAATGTTTTGAAGGTCATGTTAATAAGTATTAATATTATAAAAAAATAACATAATATTTCTTTATTTAGATCCTAAAAATTTTCTCTATATTTAAAATAATATTTAAAATTTATACTATAAAAAAAATTGTTAATATTAAAGTACCATATTAGATATTTTTCAAAAGTTTAAGGGTGGTTACCCTTCATGGGTTTTGTCCCCCGATCACAGGTGTATATATATATTCTGATTGCATAACGGGAGACAATTATTTTTTATAATTTATTTTATTACACCCATATGTTATGTGATTCAAACTCAAAATTTTTTATTTTTAGTAGAAAAAGATAACTACTAAATTATTTAAGTAATTGACTATTTTAATTAAACTACTAACAAAATTAAAATTATTTTTAAATTTTTTAATATAAATTAATAAGAATTCTCCGTATTAATAATGTTGCAATTGCTTATATACTTTCTAAGTTGTCTATTTTGGTTTTTTCTCTTTATGTTTATTTAGGAAGACATCTGCCGAATGCTTTTTACAGTGGATGTTCAGTTCACTGGTTATAGTGGCTCTCTTGATCATGCACAGTCTCCCTCTGCAAGCGCAACTGAACAGCCTTCGTGTCCAGTTTGTCTTGGTATGCTCTATTTGACAAAATTTTAGAAACTGCACATCATTATTGCTACTTAGTCATAGAGCATCAATCTATGTAAGAAAATAGTAGAATTGTAGAAACAATAAACATTTCTTAAGATTTACTTAATGTTTTCTAACCTTTCCTAGGACTTACTTACTTAGAAAATAAACAGCAGCATTAAGGATGTGAACTCTACTAACATGAAAAATATTCTCCACTTCAGTACATGCAGTCTGTTTCTTCAAGTTTATTGCCTCTGGTATAAGATACTACTCTGTACTTGGCATCTTATGTTTCTCTTTTTTGTTCTTTTGCTTTATTTTATAGAGAGATTGGACCAGGATGCAAGTGGAATCCTCACAACTATCTGCAATCATTCTTTCCACTGCTCTTGTATTTCAAAATGGACAGATTCATCTTGTCCTGTAAGTGATTCTGATTATTTTCGCTCCACTCTTATCTGGTCATGTGCTGGCAAGCATGATAGGCTTTTGTGAGAGTAATTGTACCATCGGCTTCCATTTAGAGATGAGTTGTTGGGATTGTATTGACAAGTTATTCTCAATTTGTATTAGGTTTGCCGATATTGCCAGCAGCAGCCAGAAAAGTCAACATGTTTTGTATGTCAAACTTCTGAGAATCTTGGGATGTGTGTCATATGTGGTTTTGTTGGCTGTGGAAGGTAATAGTTTTCCTACCGTCTCAAAACTTGTTTCTTTCCCTTTATGTTTGTCAGGTATACATGCCACTCTATTATTTTTTAAAAAATAATGGATGCAGGTATAAAGGAGGTCATGCTATAATGCATTGGAAAGAAACACAACATTGCTATTTTCTTGAATTGGAAACACAGCGTGTCTGGGATTATGTTGGTGATAATTATGTTCATCGACTAATTCAATCCAAAACTGATGGAATGCTAGTTGAGTTGAATGCACATTGTCAGCATGTTAATGATGGTTGTGGAAGCTGCAATTGTGATGATTATGGAATTAGTGAGGCCATTCTCAACAGCAAAGTTGAAGCGGTACTGTTCCTATATTTTATAATTTTATAATTTTATAATGTTATAGGTTGTTTATCTCACTGGTCTTACTTTGAGTCTATTCACAGATTGTTAATGAATACGATGAATTACTTGCCACTCAACTTGAGAACCAAAAATTAGTAAGTGTTTCCTTCTACTTCCATTTCTAATTGGAAAAGAGTTGCCATCTGAGCATATGTTGGTCGACGTTACATGCATCACCTAGCTTATTCTAAACTGATTTCATTAATATCTTAATAGGTAATAAATTAGTAAGAAATTATGCATTGTCCTCTATATTTGGTTTTGTTTCTAACTTTCTATTCTCCTCATTGGATTAATACACTCTTCATTGCTTGTAGTATTTTGAGACTTTGCTGCAAGAAGTCAAAGAAGAAATTGAGAGGGAAGTTTCTGAAGTTGTTCAAAAGGCTGTCACTCAAAAGCCGCAGAAGTTACAGGCCAAACTAGATAGATGTGTGAAGGAGAAGAAATTTCTTGATGATGTAAGTACTACGGTCAGTGTGGGTTGACCAGAATATATTTTCTGCTTGTTACTTTGTTACTGGATAATTTGAAACTAGTTAGTTTGTTCATATGATTTTATCTCATTTTGCCAACCATTGAATTGCTTATTCTTTGCATGTAGGTCAATGAGAATCTTTTGAAAAATGAAGAGATATGGAGAGCAAAGCTGTTAGAAGCTGAAGAGAGGTATGGCAGTTTATGGCAGAAACTTTTGAGGGGTTCTTAGCTTCTGCAAATGTTTGTATATTTTGTTTCTCCCTTTGAACTTGAATGGTCCTTTTGCATTTTCGAAAGCACTTTGAAAAAGCTATATGACTCTACTAAATTGATGCTATGAGACTAATTTGTTTGAAGAAATAACACTGGTAAATGGTTTCCTAACATGTCTCAAGAAACTGCATTTTCTTCAATATACCTCACACAATGTCTGGGTTGTGTAGTTTAGAGGAAATGGAAATGAAAATAAATGAAAGAAAAACTTTCCCATTTTTTTGAAAAAGAAAAGAAAGTAAATTAAAAAAATTTCCTTTTGTCTTTTATATCAATATGTCTATGGCTTCTTTCTGATATGATTATTATTTTTTTGATTGAGATTTGATAATCGTTTTAGTTCCATATGAGCCATGAAAAACTGATTCTAACCATTGTTGAGGAGTACGAGGTGATGCACATGCCTAGAAACTACCATTCTGTGAAAAATAATATTTATTTTTTTGGTTTTTACTCTCTGTTGGTATAACCTCTTAGGTTAAACTTGTTTCAGGGAGAAAAAGACTTTGAGAATGAAGGATGATAAAATCCATGCCTTAGAAGAGCAGGTTCAATGTCATATTTTTATTGTGTAGAGCTTTGCTTCTTTTGCTCAATTGTAGACCAGCTTGCATCTTGATGTTACAGTCTTACAAACAAATCTTGAATAACTATTTTCAAATGTACTTGCAGCTGAAAGACTTGATGGCAACCCTAGAAGCAGGGAATGCAGCGGAGCATATGTCAATCTCAGATGAAATTAAGGATGCAACTGCGTTGCCAGTATCCCCGGAGTCTTCTTCATGAAGGAGAGAAAGGGTCTAACAGTTGAAGAAGCCAGTAGGAATGGTTGATGGATTATTTCTCCAGTTTGATAGTTGGGGGGTTATTATAGATAAGAGCCAATGTCATTGTCATTTTAGGGACATATTTGCTCTCAGCAAACTTTGAAGGTTTTCCTCGGGGATCCCCTGTTTTTTTCAATTTGTCCCTGGAAAACTGTTTATACAATGTAGTAGAGGGATTTAAAAGTAAGCAATCATAGGCATATAATATTTGTGCAGAATTATTGTATCCTCCTTCCTGATATCCAATTATACTTGGAAATTACTGTCAAGATTTTTTTGGTTTTTGTCCTGAATAAAGGCATCTGCAGTGATGGTGGGAAACGTGGTCATCTGTCCATTATTGTTAGTAATAGAATTGCACAAGTAGGAGAAGAAATTTGGGTTCCCAAATGTCCATCTACTGATATTTTAATGGGATTTTTATTTTTTAAACTTTCCTTTTCTCGTTGTGCACAATGGCGCAGAGATATTTTTGTGGTGCCGACTAGTGCCTTTCACATATTTCTGAAGATGGAAAAAGACAGAGATGCCCTCATATATCTATTCTATGTCTAAGGATCCCAACACAATTAATTTTATATATCTATTTTAGATAAAAGATCCCAATTAATTTTATGCCTTTCTGATACGTGAATATATATATATATATATAGGGATTAGTACTTATCTGTTTAGGAGGTAAATTATTTTAAAATTATGTAGTTTTAATAAAGTATTATAGATAATGATAAAAAATATTTTAATTTATGCTTTAAAAATAAGATATTTTAATTTTTTTTCAATAGATATTTATTAAAATGACGTAAATTTAAAATAATTTTTTTCTAATTTTTAAGAGGTAAGATGGATAAGCATTATTTATATATATATATATCATAGTTATTTATGTGCCCTTTTATTTCTAGATTTGGTTGAAATTTATAACATAATATCTTGTAACAATAATTATAATTAACTTTTTTTCACTTAAGTTTGATAACAATAACTATGTTAAAATCTTTTATTCCAAATAAAATTGCATTTTATTAGTTACATTGGCAATTTGAGCTTTTAGCAGGCCAATTGAGAATTAAATATCTTAATTTGGTGTTTTTTTCTTTTTGGTTTTGAATGCTTTTATGATGTGCTATACTTTTAAAACGTTAGACTTCATAATAGAAGTTTCGGGTTCAACCTTAATAAAGTGAGAAGTTAATACAAGAAAAGTTGAAAAATTATCTTTTAATTATATTATATTTATGAGTAATGATCAGCGAGACGAAATTGGGGAATGAAATTGGGAGATGACAAGTGAAGCAGGTCAAATTAGTAATTTTGTATCCTGTCCAGCCTCACCTATCGTCTCCCCCCCCCATTTCGCCCCCAATTTCATCTCGCAAATCATTACTCTATATTTATTTGTTGTTTATCATATAGGTGGATTATTTTATAAAGTGAACTGTATTAAATTATAAAATAGAAATAATTAAATAACAAAAAATTTTAATATCAAATATTCACCTCTCATTTAATAGTTATTATTATGTAATTTGGTGTAAATTGCACAATAGTTTTCATTATGTATATAAAAATAATTAACTAACAATTTATTAATTTATCAATAATTTAAATAATTTAATGATAATTTTTTTTTGCATCTTCCTCCACCTTCACTAGGTGTAAAAGGTCTTGAATTCGAGTTGTATAGTATGAGAGTGGGATAAAAAATGAGAGATAATAGATAATTACCTCCCATCATGCAATCAAGATAAAAAAAATTATTAATTTAAATATAAAAAATTTAATTTCTTTAAATAAAGTTTTTATAAATGAAAAAATAAATTGTAGAAAAACCTTCTTTCTTCTAAGATTTGAGACTTTGAAGTTTGAATTAATCGAATTCAAATTTAATACGGCTTCTTAGATTTAGTCAAATATAAACTTTTAAAAGCAACACACAAGGATATTTTGGTAATGATGTAAGATTTGGTTTGCCAACGGCGAAAGGTGAGCGGCGAGACGTGAGGCCATTTACAGTACAATAAGAAAAAATAGGGAAACGAAAAAACACGTTGGAAACAAAGGCTTCGGTTCAGAAATAGACAAGTATCTGCCTCTTCTAAACCTCTCCGGGTAAGTTTCTAAAACAATCAGGATATCTGTATCTGGGTTTTGTGTATTTGTTCCTGGGTAGTCATTTATGTCGGTTTCAACGTATTCTGGGCATTTTTCGGTTAGATTTGTTGCTTAGCGGAGTAAATATTATATGGGTTCATATTAATTTTTCTTTTTTGGGAAGAATTTCTAAATGGTTTTTGGTTTGTGAATCAGATCTGTATCTATTTTTTCTTTTTTCTTTTTTTTGTTGCTCTTTGGATTGTTTTGATTGCTTTGATTTTAATTATGATTGTTCATTGAAAAGCAAAAATAAAAAAAGGAGAAGATTTGATATCAAGTTGAATGGGATAGTCGATAGCCATTGTTCAATTCAACAATGCAAGTTTAACTACTTGTTTTCCTTTGTATTGAAACTAGACTTGGGATTTTTTTTATTTTTATTTTTATTTTTTGTTTTCCATCCACGAATTGCAGGTTTTGTTGATATGCTCGTATCAAGGGCCAAAAGGATATCTGGTTTGACATGGATGAATTACCAGACCAGTTAGTGTGGGAGATTCTAGGCAAGATTAAGAAAACTGGGGACAGGAACTCTGTTTCATTGGCATGTAAACGTCTTTATGCAGTTGATAATGAGCAGAGACATTCGCTCCGGGTTGGTTGTGGATTAGTCCCTGCAAATGAAGCTTTGACTTCCCTGTGCAATAGGTTCCCCAACTTGAGAAAAATAGAGATAACTTACTCTGGTTGGATGTCCAAACTAGGAAAACAGTTGGATGACCAAGGGCTCTCTATTCTCTCTAACAGTTGCCCTTCCCTTTCTGATCTCACATTAAGCTACTGCACATTCATCACTGATATGGGTCTTCGTTATCTGGCTTCTTGCTCCAAGCTTTCAGCTTTAAAGTTGAACTTCACCCCGCGAATCACTGGGTGTGGAATACTCTCTCTTGTTGTGGGATGCAGATACCTCACCATTCTCCACCTCATCCGGTGCCTGAATGTTACCAGTGTTGAGTGGTTGGAATATCTTGGCAAGCTTGAAACTCTGGAAGATCTATCTATTAAGAATTGTAGAGCAATTGGAGAGGGTTATCTGATAAAACTAGGACCTAGCTGGCGAAATCTTAAAAGATTGCAATTTGAGGTGGATGCTAATTACCGGTATATGAAAGTTTATGATCGATTAGCTGTAGATCGATGGCAAAAGCAGTGGATCCCATGTGAAAGCATGCAGGAGCTGAGCTTGGTAAATTGTATCATCAGCCCTGGGAGAGGACTGGCTTGTGTGCTAGGGAAGTGTCAAAACTTGGAGAAGATTCACTTGGACATGTGTGTTGGGGTAAGGGATGCTGATATTATATGCTTAGCTCAAAACTCAAGAAATCTCAGATCTATTTCCCTTCGGGTTCCCTCAGATTTCTCACTGCCCCTGTTGATGAACAATCCATTGAGATTAACTGATGAGAGTCTGAAAGCAATTGCAGAAAATTGTGCATTGCTCGAAACAATCAAGATATCTTTCTCTGATGGGGAGTTTCCTTCATTTTCATCATTTACTTTAAATGGAATCCTTACTATGATCCAAAAGTGCCCAGTTCGGGAACTTTCTCTGGACCATGTGAATGTCTTTAATGATGTTGGGATGGAGGCTCTATGCTCAGCCGAACATCTTGAAACCCTGGAGCTTGTGAGATGCCAAGAAATAAGTGACGAGGGGCTCCAGCTTGTGAGCCAGTTTCCCCTTTTGCGGGTTTTAAGATTAAGCAAGTGTTTGGGAATTACAGATGATGGATTAAAGCCTCTTGTGGGATCATTGAAACTGGACTTGTTGTCTGTTGAAGATTGTTCTCAAATTTCTGAAAGAGGTATTCAAGGAGCTGCTCGATCTGTGTCATTTCGCCAAGACTTGTCGTGGATGTACTAAAGTGATACAGTTATCATGTCCTGTTTCTAGTTGCACAGTCTCTCATCGTTTCATAGAGTAATTACTCAAAGATGCTTGTCATTTTTTTTAATCAGCAAAAATTGTTTTATTATCTAAGGATTGTAACATAGTTTTATGCAATATATGAAACTATAATGTGGCTATTGTAATGTTCATGCCTCATAACAGGACCATGGAGCAAGAGGCATTGTTTATTCAAGTTCAGCATGTTTCTTGTGAGACTGATTGAGATTGAGACGGTTGGTTCTTTCTGTATTTTTACTTTTCTTGTTTCTAAACCATTAGTGGTTGTTCATAGAACTTGTGCTTTCTACGTTATTAGACTTATATGCTCATCTGTTTTCTAAACTATTGCTTCCTCGGGTTTGTTCTTCAATTTTCTTGGTTGTCTCTTTTGGATTAGTTTATTTCTAAAATAAAGAGAGATTCTTATTTTATAGTTTATAATACATTAAATTGCAAAAAGAGAAATTATTGAATGAAAAAAAGATGCCGATACTAAGAAGTTCTTTTTTTAATCTAATAGTTTTAGTTATGTAATATGTGAATTATACAATAATTTTTAATAAAAATATGTTTTCCAAGCTAAATTGCATAATAGAAACTTTAGGTTTAATAAAATATTTGTAATAAAATTCTTCTCTATGTTAATTTATTTATAGGATTTTAGTATTTTAGTTAAATTTAATAAAATATTAAAAAAAGTATTTGTTATTCTAAAAGATCTTCTTCACATATAACAGGAACACAACATGTTATTTACTGTTCAATTGCTTTTTTTTTTTTTTTTTTTTTTTTGACTCTCCTAGTCGTAAGCATGATTATGGCTACTTTATGCTTAGAAAAAACGAAAAAGAGGATCAAAAAGCATTTTTTGATACAATACTACCAAGCAAGAGCTCTCACAAGGCGTGTTACGAAAAGATTGTTATTCTAAAAAAATTTTCCTTGACACATATAAAGTGAAATAGTGAGCTATTTGTTTTACTTAAAACAAAAAGATTTTTTCCAATAATTTTATCTACTTTTCAAGCATGAAACTTAGTTGAGTTAATGGAAGAATGTCATGGACCACATCTTAATGGCCAAATAATTGGTGAAAACAATGGATGAACTTCCTACACTCCTCCAACCAAATGCAATCAGGGAAAAACTAAGAATGTAAGAAAAGTAAATAATTACCAAATTACTAAAAATTTAAATAAATTTTAAATATGCAAACTGAGTTAGAATAAAGTTTTCAAAAAGAAATCTAAATATACAAAAATAAATTAAGTTAAAGTAAATGAAGGTAGAAATATAAAAAGTTTACCAGCAGCATAATATATAAATCAACAAAAACCAAACAGATATGAAATTGAGTATTGACATCACTTAATTAATTAAAAAGAACTTAGGAAACAATAAAGGAAAGGAAGCAATCCAATTACCAAAAACAAAAAACTATCACTAAAAGCATTGAATCTTATCATTACAAAACCAATAAAAGAAGAATTCAATTGTTTTCTTAGAAAACTATAACTAATTTTCGGGATTTTTAAAGAAAAAGACATTAAATTAAGGTTAAACGTCAATGTAGGCTGAAGTGTAGAGTTAAAACTAAATTAAAGGGTTTGAAACTAAAATGGACTTGAGTATTAAAAAAAATAATGCTAAGATTGTCTTACTTGACTTCATTTTCATGTACTTATAGTAGTAAATATCTTTTGACAACATGTTGGAAATCTAAGATAACATGAAATCTATAATAAATTAACTAACCTATTGTTACTGCCAATTACACTCCAAAAAATTCACAACAATTGAACAAATTAATGATATGAAAACAACCAAACCAAGCTTTATTTGGGAGAAATTTGCATCAACAAAACAAAAACTCTACTTGGCCAATATAGATGACAAATGACACTAATTTATTTATTGTAAAATTAGGTGTAAATAGTATTTTTTAAAATTAAATTGCTCAATAATAAAAGATTATGAATTCATTAAAATATTTTTAATAAAACTACCCTGTATATTTGTTAATTCATTAATTGTATTTTAGTTATTTTAATTTGTACAGTCAGATTAGGAAAGGCATAAAAGACCAAACTCAAACACTCAATTTGTTTGAATTCGAAAACAGGTAGGGACCAAATTGAATTTGACTGAAAAAAGTTGAGGACCAAAAACAACATTTACCCTAAAGCAAAAAAAAAAAAGGGAAAAAGAAGACCGAATCCTAGTGAGATCATCGTCATCCCACTTACGTTCAATTCAACGGTTTATTCCTGTTTTGAGGCGGCCAGAGAAAAACGGTGCTCATTGTTGTGAAGCTTAAACCCTAGCCTCCTCCATAGAAATCTCCAATCTTCAATCCTATCTAAACAATTAGTCTTTCACACCCATCGATTAATGGCTTCTCTCAAACTCTTCCCTAACGTTTCCGTAGCAGTTTCATCGTCCAACAGCCTCCCCCGTCGGTTCGAGAAGGGGAGGGTGAGTGCTTGCCTCAACGTCGATTTGCAAGCTGTGGATTCGTTAAAAGTGGAGAAATTGAATGCAAGCAATGAGGTGATGGAGGCAGAGAAGAGGGTTCTGGTGGGGACGTACGCGAGAGCTCCAGTGGTGCTTTCCAGTGGTCAGGGGTGTAAGTTGTATGATCCGGAGGGGCGAGAATATCTGGATTGTTCTTCTGGGATTGCTGTCAATGCGCTTGGACACGGGGATCCTGACTGGGTCAGGGCGGTGACTGAGCAAGCCAACGTGCTAACCCACGTTAGCAATATCTACTATTCGGTTCCTCAGGTGGGTTTGTGTTAATCTTTGGGTATATTTTCCTGTTCTCCGTTTTTTGCTTGTTTCGATTCAGTGTTTCAAAAAGCAAAGATTCTCCTGTCAGCCCCTGATTTCCTTGATTTTTATGTTGTGTTAATGAGATTTGGGTTTTGGTTAAGACAAAAGAAAAATGCTACTCTTTCTTATTTTCTTTACCATTAGCATAGAATGTATCTTATGGGCATTTATCATGAGAAGCTAAACTTTATAGGTATTTGGATATGCACTAAGTTCATTCAACCCTGAAAATTTAAGAAAAAACGGACTTTTGCAAATCTTAAATATGTCTTCTTAATATATTAGTTTAAGGTAAGTTGAGGTGTCTTTTTAATGTTATTTCCCAAGAAATAGAAAATCTCTCCACTTTCGGTTTCTTTTGCATTTCTAGTAGATAGGCTTTGGCAATAAAGATGCCAATCTCATCAGTTGTATATGAGCTTGATGAAGTCTACATGTGTCAACTTCAAGTTATTGGTGAACGACAAGTTGTGACATGGTCCTAGTGGCTAGTGTGAAACCATATCCAATAAATAAGTGCTAGTGCATTCCATGTATCTATTCATAAGCTATTGTTACTTTCCAGCACCACACGTCCTTGATTCCACTGCCACAAGTCTCTCTGCTAGTGCTCGTTGTCCGAATTGGTTGAGGAAATACAAAAATATTTCCTCTGGTAGCTAACTATAGAGAAGAAAATTAAAACAAACTAATATACATTAGAGCCTAACATTGATTTCTTGTTTGTCTAGTATTTATTAGTTGCTTAAGGTTTATAGTTGGTGCTTAACATTCATGTTGCCAGACCTTTTTACCAGAAAACAATTTTGTTGTTGGTTAGGTGGAGCTTGCAAAACGTCTTGTGGCTTGTTCTTTTGCTGATCGTGTATTTTTCTCAAACTCTGGAACAGAAGCAAATGAAGCTGCAATTAAATTTGCGAGAAAGTTTCAAAGGTTTTTACATCCTGATGACAAGCAGCCTGCAACAGAGTTTGTTTCTTTTACTAATTGCTTTCATGGTAGAACCATAGGGGCCCTTGCTTTGACAAGTAAAGTGCATTATCGTTCACCATTTGAGCCTGTCATGCCTGGAGTTACTTTCCTGGAGTATGGCAACATACAAGCTGCAAAGGAGCTGATCCAATCTGGCAAAATTGCCGCTGTCTTTGTAGAGCCTCTCCAGGGAGAAGGTGGAATATATAGTGCAACAAAAGAGTTTTTGCAATCCTTGCGTACTGCTTGTGATGATGCTGGATCCCTCCTGGTTTTTGATGAGGTAAGCAAGTTCTTAATGGTATACATTTGTTGACACGTAGAAGATAAACCATCATAGTTTTGATACTATTAGAATGGTTTCTTTGGAATGCTATGGTGGTTGAAAAAACATTTTAGATTGCACATACAGAATGTCAAGTTTAACTTGTTCTTGCACCTATGAAGATGCAAATAAAGAACTAAGAAATGGAAAGATGACTGTGTAGAGTTTGCTCCTAAACTGAAATATAATTGAATTTAATATGGTTTGAGCCCATTAAAAGCTAAATTGAAACATCTTAACATTTGACGTTTACAAAAATCATCAGTTATGGTGGTAAGAATTAGTCATAAATTTTGAAACAGAGTGAAAGATTTGCAGTACTGTTTCTGGTGAAGATCAAGTAAGATTTAGAATTTGGAGCAAGTTTGGATTGATAGTAATCTAATGTTTAGAGTGTAAAAGTGAGTAATTAATTATCTTCCCAACGGATTATACTGGCATCATCTTGCTAGTTCCAAATATAGTGATGTTCATAGTTGATAAGATTTCCATAGCTTTTCTTTTCAGTTCTGAAAGCTCTGGGATCTAGGAAAACTGGTCTAGAATAATTGAAAGGTAAAGTTTTCCAATCAGAAGTAATGTGATACTTGTTTGTTGGTGTTCAAGGGGTATGTGAGGAAGAAGGTGCTTTAACATATATAGTATCAATGATGCAATAAGCATTCTTTAATTTCACTGGAGATGAGTAGAGTCAATCTCAGTTGATTAGTAATACTAATCTTCATATCTTTTTCATAGCAGTAAACATAGCTCCTATTTTGGTTAATTTAATTTGTGATATTTATTACTGTGCTTACATATACGCTTTTATTTCTAGGTTCAATGTGGTTTGGGCCGGACTGGTTATCTCTGGGCACATGAAGCATATGGTGTATTCCCTGATATGATGACTCTTGCCAAGCCCCTTGCAGGAGGTCTTCCCATAGGAGCTGTTTTAGTGACAGAAAGAGTTGCATCTGCCATAAACTTCGGAGATCATGGAAGCACTTTTGCTGGCGGTCCTCTTGTCTGTAATGCAGCCATCACTGTCTTTGATAAAATTGCAAATCCTAGTTTCTTGGCCAGTGTCTCAAAGAAAGGTAAGTATTTCAAAGAACTATTAGTTCAAAAACTTGGAGGAAACGCACATGTGAAAGAGATACGAGGTTTGGGTCTCATAATTGGGATAGATCTGGATGTTTCTGCATCACCACTTGTAGATGCATGTCGGAATGCTGGTCTCTTGATATTAACTGCAGGAAAAGGAAATGTTGTGAGGCTCGTACCACCTTTGATCATCTCAGAGCAAGAATTGGAGCGTGCAGCTGAGGTTATTCGTCAATGTTTCCGAGTCCTTGATAATAATAATAGTAACTGAACGTAAGAGAATTTGGTAAAGATTATTCAGTTTAAGTAGTAACATGATAAATTTTTATGTTATGTTCCCATTTGAAATACTAAACTAGTAGAAGTTTAGAACAATGAAAATCCAGAGTGATGATCTACTGGTTTTAGTCAAGCTTTCTTTCCTGTTAAACATCCAGTTTTGTGTATATGGCAAGTTTGCTATTAAAACCAAAATAATTTCAATTTGTACCCTTTTAAGTTGGAGGGTGGCTTTTGGCTATGTAATCTGGTTTCAAGGATCTATGGTAGGGTTAACTGTGTGTTATATGGTGAGATTTTTTATTTATTTAGTTATTTTTTTCTCATTTTGATATAATGTATGGTGAGAATTTCACTATGCCACAATACATCAAATAATGAGGAAAGAAAAGTGAGATTTTGTTGTCCCCTCAAATTGGAGCAAACTCCGTGATATAAAGATTCAAAATCTCAGAACAAATACAAGTGAAAACTTTGAATTCCCTCGATACGGAACAGAGTCAAAACGGGCTATCCTTATTAAAACCAAGACTGGGTCTAATAATGTCATTATCACTATTTTTTCCTGTGTTGGTAAGAATTTTTTAACCAGTGCTGTTTTGAGTATTCCTGTTTTATAATCTGAATCAACTTAAACAGTAAAACAAAAGCTAATGATAGAAAAGGTTCCCAATATCAAAAGGATCAATTCTTATTAAATTGTTAGTATTTTATAGTTTGATTTAGTCTAAACTATAAAATACTTTTTTACACAATTATTCATCAAATACCCATCTTTTATTATTACCCAAAGAGTGGTAGCCTCTACCTTGTTAATTAGATCAACATCTAATACATGTCATGAGAAAATAATTCATTGTAAATCTATAACATAAATGACTTATTTTTTACTATATTAATAAAGTGAATGTAATTAATTCTTTCTCTGCATCATTTAAGTGATGGATGGTGGTAAGGTAGAAGGCCTCAAAACTCTGCGTCAAGAGATTTAAAGTGGGGGTGGAGAGGGGGTCCTACTCAAAAAATGTCATGATATGGGAAACTAGGCCTCCTCCAGATTTTGAAGGCAGATAGAATAGCCTAATAGGCCTCCATGCCCCTAATCAAAAGTTTCTTTTCATTTTCATCAATGGACAACCACACCTATAGATTAATGTACATAACTTTTTCTTTGACCACCATTTATCTCTATCTTTCCCTTCTGTGAAAAGGGAATTGGAGTGTAGAGGAATATTCAGAAATTGTTTCATCAATTGACTCAAAAAGAGGAAATAATACAAAATTTTTCAGCATCATCTGAATCAATGTGAGGAAGTAATAGTGGTAGAGTTTTACATTACACAAATACACCCAATTCCCAAGTACAAGAATCATAAAGGCATCATCATAGCATACTTTCCTTGTCCTCTTTCTTCTTGGGATTTTCTCTCTCGCCCCCATGCCATTTTCTCTCTCTCTTCTTTCCCCAACCCCAAGCAACCAAGACAAAATCTCTCGGTCCAACAAGTGTTATAACAGTAAAATATATATACACAATCGCATGCTTCTTTCTTTCCTATAGCTAGCTATATGTAAGTCCATCTTGGGAAGACCAACAACATTTCTATCTCTTCTATAACAGAGATTGTTTCGAGAATTATAGACCGACATTCTTTTTTGTTCCTAGTGAATGTTTCTTCAAGTATCAAAATAAGGGCGGGGGTAGACCACTTTGAGAAATCCCCCCCCCCCCCC